CAAATGCATAAACGTCCCAATTATTTACTTGATACCATCTCATTTCTCTACTTCCAAGAGATAAATGATTTAAATGCCCATGTTTAAGCACGTAATCAACCCAAAGTAAAAACTTTTCCAATTGATTTTCTGGTTGTTCATTATACAATGTAGATAATCGTTTCATATTATTTTTGTACCTGCAAAAACTAATTTAATAAATATTTTTATTTAAAAGAAAATAACTTACACAGGATTAGACAACACTTCCAAAATAGAATTATAAACATTCTCCGTCGTTAATTCCCAATACTTTAGAACTACACCTCCATTAATCGATTGAATCTTTCCAGCTTGACTATATTGATCAAAAAATAACGGTATTCCAATAACTGGAACACCCCTAATTATAGTCTCTTGCGTACTTAGTCCACCGCAATGAGTTATAAAAAGCTTCGTGTTTGGATGCGCTAAAATATCGGTTTGAGAGAACCATTTTCGAGTAATAACATTTTTAGGAAGATCATCATCGTCAAATTTCCAAAGAATGGTTTGATTTAGTTTTGAGAACGATTCTTTAAAAGATTTTATAGCATGTTTTCCGTAATATTTTGGTACAAAGTTTGAACCTAAAGATACGAAAATTACTCCTTGTTTGGAATCGTCTAAAATTTTTTGCAAATCCTAAAATAGATCACTAAATTAGTTAGAATATTTTTAACAAATTTCTAATTTCACCTTATCAAGTTTTTTTGGTGGTTTAACTTGAACACCACCGATTGGAATAACATTCGGCGCTGTTGGTTTGGGGTAATCCAAAATTGGATGATCGTTGGGAAACATTAAAGAAATTTCTTTAAATAAATCTTCAATGCTTCTAGATTTTGGTCCAAAAGTTTCTTTAGAAATATCATTTAAATTCTTCAAATTATTTAGTCTTATTATGCTTTCCATGGTTAAATAAAATGAACTGTGTATTCTTTCAAAAAAATTCATATGATCTGAGTATGGTAAAGCGAAGTATGGAATATAATTTTCGGTTGTTTGCCCCATAACATCATTAATGTAAGAATACATTCCAAAAGCGGTAACAGCAACAACTGGGGGTAATCCAAAATGATCTATTAAGGGTAAATAACATTCAGCGTATATTACATCGAAAATTATCATATCAAATAAATCTTTGGGATAATCTAAAAGCTGCTTAAATTGCTGGGTTTTTAAACAATATTTACAGCTATTTTCTACATATGCTGCTAAACCTAATGTTCCTTTTATACTTGCAGAACCAGAAGCTGACATTTGTTGGAATGCTGCATCAACACTGTGAGTAAATGGTTTAACTATACACAAAAAGAAGTGTTTAAATTTAACATAATTTTTAATTTATCTTAACTTACTATCGATTTGTAAAACTTCATAATTGGGATGTTTTATTTTTGAATCATAATATCCAATCATTGTAACATTATGGTTTCTACTTAATAAGCCTTCAATTAGAACTTCATTCCATCCATGATGGCTTGGTGATGGAACCAAATCAACATATAAAATATTTTTACAAGTAATTTGTTGAAATGAAATTAAAACGAGAAGAAATGTTAGCATTATAAGAGCTGCTTGTTATTCGGATGCTTAATACAATACGAAAGAAATTGAGAAATAAACTTGCAAAAGTGAAGTGATATTATGTAATATCGTCAATTGAGAAAATTAATAAGACATGCAATGTTTCACGTGTCGCACAAAAACGCACAACCAATTATGCGAAATTATACGTATTCTAACTGTTTAAATATCATGAAATTTATCATATTTCATTTTGTTTAAAATTCATATTTCATTTATTAAGGAATGTTTAAAAATTTATATTTCACTTATTAATCATTATTCAAATTAATAGTTTAAAAAATAGAGTGCTTATTGGAATTGTAAAAAACAAAACAACATTTATTGATTGTTCATTATCAAAAAAATCCTAAAAGTTATTTCTTCGTTACAATAGACATTCATTATTGAGTGAATTAAAAACATTTTTTCTGGTCCTTCGAGCAATGATACACTTACATCATTGTAGGATCAAATTCCCCTAAGTACCGGTTACGAACTATAAGAGAGTGGAAGAAGAGGGGATGCGAGTGTTGCATGTGAGAGTTGGCAGCACAGATTACTCTGTGGTTGGCAGTGTGTAACTAGCAGTGAGAGAGAGACATTGATTCTTAACCAAAAGTGGTGTATTTTTGAGGTTATAGTAAAGAACTAAATATCGATTTATTGTGTGTGCGTGTTTTATTTTTCTCCCACAATATCCAGTTTCCACAAATTTTGGGGGCTCAACCGGGATTCTGGTTAATTCGAGGGGTAAACCGCTGGGGAAGTAGGTGTACAAAATAGGGGAAATGCGGAGGAATTATGGGGAAGTTCGACGAATTACGGGGAAGTCTGGGGAATTANACGTCGAGAGATTTCAATAATTAAAAAATATTTTTCGAATGGAAAAGAAGATAAAAAAGTACATGATATTTTAGAGTTTCGAAATGAGTTAAGTGAAATACAATATGAAACTGATTGTTTGTATGCTTTAAGTAATAATAAATCCGAATAAATAAAGAATTTATTTTTGTTTTTATTTGTATTTTAGTGGTATTTCAAAAATCCTTCATGATTCCAGCATATACATATAACTAAAAATGGTGCAATATGGTAAGTTAACAGATATACAGGATGTTCCGTATCTTCCGTATGTTCCCGTGCGGTTATTATAAACATTTTGAAAAAAATTTATTAGAAACATCGCTTAAGAATAATGTATCCTACAACCGTATAATGCTCTGATGCGGAAGATACGGGACATCCTGCATAGGTATGGCTAAAATAAGCAGTAGCCATGAGAAACTATGGTAACCAATTATTCTAAACAATTTCGTCAAAGTCGCACACCCAATATCCCCAAAAGATCAATGTGTGGAGCAGAATAGTACGGCATACTGTCTTGGGTTCTTACTTTTTTGAGGAAACCTTAACTGGAGAGAGATGGTTAGATTTTTTCAAACCGATATTATTCCTTCCATAACGGCCTCGTCCCGATAATAAATAAATAAATCTGGTTTATTGAGCCATTACAATACAGTACAAAAAAGAGAAACAAAAATTATCTAAACATTAATAATTATAAAATAAAATTAAAAGAAACCTAAAAAAACTTAAAAAGAAGAAAAAAAAATTAAATTAAGAAATTTGTAGAGAAATACGTCTCAATAGGTACAAGAGCAGAATAGGCAACAAAGCTACCACTGGTTTTACTTGCACCAATGGCAAAAAGAATGTAATACATCCAATGTTATTAATGCTGAGTAGCAAAACAACTAGGTAATATATTCTTCCAAACCCTAAATGAATAAACCTTAAATAAACAGTATCCGTCTAGATATAAAAAAGATCGGGAAAAACCTGAAGCGAACCCCAGAAACACTGATGTGAAAAAGTTTAAGTCGGTGTTATCAGGGTGTTTGAGCGATATAAGGTTAATCCGGTTCAATTTGAGCAGGGATGTTGAGGAACGATCAATGTCTTGACAGATTCCCTGACAATTGCGTATAAAAAGGCTTGTCCACTCCGTCTGGAAGCTGATTCAGGACGTGCCACTCTGTGGTGGTGTACTGAGCTCAGCGACTTTAAGAGGGAGGTCAGAGCAGCCTTCAATAAAGCCAAAAGCTCGAGATTAGATTCCGATTGGAACTGCTATAAAGGCAAACTATCGAAGTTTAAAAAAAGTTTTCGTCGAAAGAAGAGAGGGGTGTGGAGGAGATTCTGAGAAAAAGTCACCTCTGGAAACTAATTCTCTAATCTTAAAAGGGGTCTGGCCTCAGACCCGGACCGGCGAATAGGTTTATTAAAGAAGGTTATTAAGTTGTTCTACCGAATGAATGTGCATTTCTTAGGTTTGGTAGACTCTATAGTAGCTCATGAAGACACCAACCACACACCGCCTGCAGAAGAGTGGCTGTTAGCTGAGAAGATCTGCACGCAAGATAAAATGAGGTGGGCAATAAACAGTTTTTCACCTTTCGAAGCTCCTGGACCTGATGGTATCGTACCCGCCCTGCTGCAATGGGGATTGGAAGAATTAATACCTAAGGAATATCTTTCAGGGATGTCTGGCGCTTCGCTACATTCCCAGTTGTTGGCGTGAGGTTTTGGTGAACTTCATACCTAAACCGGGTAAATACCTTTCGAAGTCTTTTAGACCAATCAGCCTCTTCTCGTTTTTATTAAAAACCTTAGAGAGACTGTGCGATCGTTACATAAGGGATATCTGTCTTGTCTATAGACCCTTAGATTCTAATCAACATGCGTACACCCAAGGCAAGTCCACACTGACAGCTCTTTGCAGTGTGACCAGCTTTGTTGGGAGGGCGTTGGACTCCAAAGAGACCGCCTTGGGAGTATTCATAGATATAGAGGGCGCCTTTGATAAGACGACCTTCGTTGGTATTAACGAGACTTTGGCTGAGCACAATGTTCCTCCTACCCTCTGTGGCTGGTTAGAGAGCTCCCTCAGACAAAGGATCATCAAGCTAAGGGCTGGCTCCCTTAAAAAGGCAACACGTAACACGTGGATGTCCTCAACGAGGTGTTCTTTCACCACTTTTATGGAACCTCATTCTATACAGCTTTATTAAACGCATCAAAGAGGCTAAATTCGTTACCGTCGACTATGCTGATGATCAAACTATCCTTGTTAGCGGAAAACATGTGGGGGTGTTATTTGACAGGATACAAGCTCTCAACATAGGCGAGAAGTGGTGTGAAAGGCAGAAATTGTCGGTTAACCCCAATAAGACCGACTTAATTCTTTTCACACGCTTGCGAAAAATTGGTAATTTTCGATTGCCCTTGTTCGCTAAATGCCCACTGAGTTTGTCTAAAGAGGTTAAATATCTGGGTATCACTATGGATAGCAAACTATCGTGGAAATCACACTTAGATAATAGAGTAAAGAAAGCTAGTGTCGCATTTGACCAGTGATTGTGAGACATGGAGTTTGTCACCCAAATCTGCTCTCTCGATCTACACGGCTGTGATACGACCTATGCTCACTTATGGTGCAGTAGTGTGGTGGTCTAAAACCTTACAGCTTACCGCCACTACCGCACTAAATAGAATACAGAGAGTTGCGTGTATGTATGTTAGAGGTGCCATGACGACCCCCACACGGCCATGGAAAACATCTTAAACTTGCCACCTCTACATTTATATATTCAGAAGGTGGCGCTGATTACCATGTTGCGACTACGGGAGGTAGGACTTTTCATGGGAGAGGAAACCGGAGGAAGTGCAGCACTTTGGAGGGAGGCGTTGACAAACACACCTCTATTGGAATGCTGCACGGACTATAGGTATACCGGCTAAATTCACATTTTCAAGGAAATACCTCACCCATTGTGGTTCCACAGAAGTAGATGGAAATAACACCCTTAAAATCTAGACCGACTGGTGCAAAAGCGGGAGTCTTTTCTAATGATTTACGGCTCTATCTCCTTATATCACTTGGAGAAGGCATTACCGTCAAGCAGGCGGAATTAGTCGCTATAAAATTTGCTGCTGACTACATTGTTAGCTCCAATTATAGTGATAAGACCTTTACAATCTTTACCGACAGTAGACAATGAGTTTTAGCTCTAAGCAAGGATAACTTTACCTCTGCGCTGATTATGGATTGTCATTTAGCGCTTGAAGTGGCGGCAACACTAAACAGTGTCACACTGCAGTGGATAAAGGGGCACTCGACTCACTCGGGGAATAAGCACGCCGATAGGCTGGCAAAAGAGGCTGCTGGGAAAGTGCCTTGTTCCCCTTTCAAATTCAAATTCAAATTCATTTTATTGTGTTTTAAGATATATTCCTTTACACTCGTCATGGATTACTTAGTATTACATATTACATAGCAAAAAGAAATATATTGTGATAAAATTTTAACATCTCGTAGTTCACCGAGAGAACATAACCTTAAAATTGTGACAGAGAGATTCTTTGTTGGTAAAAATCTTATCTTATACCGTTTTGTTTGCTTCCAAATGTATCAATTATTATAGTTCAGCTCCTAAAGCACATTTTTCATCCATTCCTTGATGTTTTAACGTTATTTTGAGGAAGAAATCCTTGATTTAAATTTGAATTTTTCTAACTTTACTCATTGTTGAAATTTGACGTGTACTCCAATGTATGTCTGAAAACAAGGAAAGACAACTTTGAATACGAAGTTTTATTACGTTTTATAAAGGAATAAGGGAGAAATCAACGAAAAAAGGATTAAATTTTGAAGGTTAATTCCAAGAAAAATCAAGAGATGACGCTAGTTTCGAAGCAAGAATTTTGAATTTTGAAAAAGGCGCGAAGCTATGAGCCAATCAGAAACGAGGAAAAAACAGTTGGAGTGCCGGGGTATATAAGAAGATCGCGCACACAAGAAGAGAGAGTCGTCGTCGGACCAGCGTTGAATCCACGTCGTCAGATAGAAAAATTCTAACCTCCAAGAGTTAACCTCAAAAATTTAAATTAAATTTTAAAGTCAATTTCAACTTACGATATCAAAATAAAAAGAGAATCATCCAACAACCTATTCCAAGAACTCCTGATATTTCTTCGAGATCATCCAAGACCCTATTTCCGAAGAACAAGCAGTTCAAATTTCCCGTAAGGAGAATCCAGTAGACAATTCAGAAAACTAGATCGTACTTCAAACACAAGACAATCCATAATCCAGATTCCACATTGAACTCCAATCCTTTCTATTTCGCAGTGAGTC